GGCCCAAGTTTCCCAAGTGCTAAGAAATAGGTGAGGACTAACCTCTAGATTCCCCAAGCTGTGCTCTTTGTAGAAACTGTTTCCAGTTCTCTTCAACTTTTCATCTGCCAGATGCATCTCTTTAGTGTTCCCTTGTTTTAGCAGATTTTCAGGTTGTTTTGCAGGCACTGGGCATCTCTGAAGCAGGGTGCAGAGGCCTTGGAGTTCAGCTAGCTGAAGCCATCGGTGAGTGAGCCCCACATTTGCTGGGCAGCAGGCCCCCTTCTGTTTGGTTTCCTTGGGCACATCTGCGGTCCCCTCATTCTGCCCTTTCCCGTGCAGCCCTCTTCGCAGGCAGTCCTTATCTGCTCCTAGCAGCCTTCACAGGATACATTCTGAGCATCCTGACTCCTTCCGCTCCAACCATCCCAACACTGACTCCTTTCTTTTCCTCTTGGGTGTTTTTGTGCAGATACTTTGTGGATCCTGGTTACATTTTTTCAGGAAGGAGATAAGCAGCCAGAACTCTCCTCTAAGCCCCCTCCTTAGGCCTGCCTGGTAATCCTCTTCCCTTTCCAGCTTCTTTGCAGAATGAGATAAAAGGCAGTATAGGAACCAGTTCCAAAGTGCTGCTCTGCCCAGAGAGGGTTAAGAGATTGCAGGGTGGGAAAGTGGGAAGGCATCAGTCAGAGGTCAAAGGAACAAGATTTACTCCATCATCAGTACTCTTAATCTAAGCAAAGCACCACGGGCAGGGCCAGAAGTAGACTTCTGGGAAAGGCAAACAAGAGCGCCAATCAGATGGGGTGTACATGGGTCAGACACCGAGACAATGACATGACTTTTAAATGCATTTCAGTTAAATCTGCTTTCACCCAGGATCCCATGAGGGCAGGGATGTTCTGGGTGGACGTGGTTCTTTCCTCTAACATCAGTGTTAAGGGACAGCAGGTTGCATTCTACCTTGCAAGTCATGACTGGGCCCTGGAAATACAACTCATTTAGGCCAATGAGCCTTACCTGCCCTTACCACTAACATGGAGACTCACCATTTCCATGATAATTACTTAGGGAACAGTTCTGGGCGGTCCTGCTTTGGTAGGGCCGAATTAGAAAGCTTTTTTCTTTTCAAGTTTTTTTTTTTTTTTTTTTTTTTTTTTTTTTTTTTTTTTTTTTTTTTTGAGAGCCACCTGCCTCTGCCCCTCTTGAAAGTGTTGGGATTAAAGGTGTGCACCACACCTGGCATGAAAAGCTTTCCTCTTTAAAGATGTACTTACCTATATGCATGTGGCTTGTCTGTGATGTGAGTTTGTGTGCACATGTCTGCAGTGCCTAGAGAGTCCACTGGATCCCCTGGGACTGAAGTTAGAATTGTGAGCTACCATGCAAGTACTGGGAACCAGAACCTCTGCAAGAGCAGTCAACACTCTCAAGCGCGGAACCATCTCTTCAGACCTGTTTTGTTTTGAGACAGTGTAGGCCAGGTAGACCAGGAACAGATCCCCCAACTTTCCCCTCTATTTTCCCACAGGGATTAGTGAGCATACAGTCTAACCTAAGCCTGGAATGTTTTCAGCCTCTGAGACTTACTGCTTAATAAACCCACTCTTTCTAGTTCTCACTGAGCTCTGGGACTGGCTGATTCAATTCATCTACTCTGGCTCATAATCCTCTCCCAGCTAATTTACTCAATCTGGCTTCTCTCTTGGCCTCTGAATCGCTCTGCTTGGCCTCAAGCTAGTACTCCAGCAACCTGTTCTAGTCCTCTGGCTCCTTTTGCCTTCACCTGTGTGTAGCTTATTGTCTCCTTCAACCTCTCTGTACAACTGCCTTCTCTCTCTCTCTGCATTGGCCCTACAGTAGCTTCTCTTTCCTCTCCTCTTGAGAGTTGGGCATATCCTATTCTGTCAAATCTTCTGATTCGTCACTTTGTCACTTTCTTTTTCTGCCAGTTAATCAGACATCACTTCCAAACACAGGTGCTTCTTTCTACAAAGTAACTTCACCTTTACTGTTGGGGATTAAAGGCATGTGCCACCAAGCCTAGCTTTTCTTTACCTGATACTTGCTCTATACCAGGCTGGCCTTGATTTCAGATGTTTGCCTGTCTCCTGGATTAAAGGTGTGTGCGTATTCTAGCCAGATTGCAAGGTCCTAGCTCTTTGGATGTGATCTCTTGCCAGAGCAGCCATGTTCTGAATTAAAATGAAGTCAGGTTTTTGGGGTTTTTTTTGGTGTGTGTGTGTGTGTGTGTGTGTGTGTGTGGTTTTAGGGCTTGAACCCAGAGCTTAGTACATGTTAGGCAAGCACTGTCAATTGAGCTACATCGCTAGCCCATCTGAACCAGCATTTTCTGACAACTGAGAAAACAATCAGAAGCTGGGAGACTGAATGAGTAGGAATGGTAGCCATGACCCCACATGTGAGCTTCTGCCTGACAAGTTGCCTTTATTGTCTCCCTACCATAGCCAGTGAAGGAAGCCTTTAAAAAAAAAATTCTACTGATAGGCTAGGGTCAGATGGAAGGGGAGGAGGACCTTCCCTATCAGTGGACTTGGGAAGGGGCATGGGAGAAGAGGGAGGGAGCTACAGCTGGGATACATAGTGAATAAATTGTAATAAACAAATAAAAATTAAAAACCCTTATGTTTAAAAAAAACAAAACAAACCCCAAACTGCTTTCTCTCCTAGGGTCATGACTGATGCAAACAGAATGAAAGATGGGACGGAAGGCAGGTCCAGGTTTCCTCACAGTCATTTGACAGCTATGGAAAACCTTATCAATACGAAACTTGCTTCCATTTTTCAAATAAAGTGATGGAATACTCACTTCATTTCCTAGGCTGTGATGAAGACTGAGATAGAATAGAGTAGCTGCAGGTTGCTTTATTTTTCTACCCACTATGTCCTAGTATTACTGAAGTGTGATGATTTCATCTTTTGTTTTGAAGGAGAGTTTATTCTCTGAATAATAAAAGGATTAAGAAATGATGTACAGGTTGGCTGTGGCAGCACACGGCTGTAATCCTAGCACTCAGGAGGTAGCATCAGGTGAATCTAAGTCTGAGGCAAGCCTGATAATCACTAAGTTCCAGGCTATCGAGGGCTATACAAGACCCTATTTTTCCTTCACAGATGTCTCTATTCAACCCAGCACCAATAGAGATACCACCGTGAAGGGATTTGAAATTGACATGACGGGCCTTAAAACAGAATGACAAGGATTATCTAGTGGGTGCAATCTAACTGCTTGACTCCCTACAACAGAAGTGCCTCCAGGAAGGGTTAGGGAGATAGAGCAGCTAGAAGCAGAGAACGGCTTTGAAGATGGAGGCAGTAGAGGTGGGAAATGACCACTGGACAACCACCGAGGACACAGATCCTGGTCCCAAACCACAAGGAACAATTCCATCAACATGAATTTGTTTGTTTACTTGTTTAACAGAGAGATTCCCAACGGGTCCAGTGACTCACCCCTGTAATCCCAGCACTTGGGAGGCAGAGGCAGGCTGACCTCTGTGAGTTCAAGACCAGCCAGATCTACAAAGGGAGTTCAAGACAGTTAAGAGAAACTTTTTTTTTTTTTGAAGGCTATTTTTTTTCCTTCTTCCCAAGACAGGGTTTCTCTGTGTAGCCCTGGCTGTCCTGGAACTCAGAGATCCACCTGCTGGGAGTGCTGGAATTAAAAGTGGAAGCCACCAATGCCTAGCTAACCTGAGGGATTTTTTTTTTTAAAAGATTTATTATTAATTATTTATCCAGTGTTCTGCCTGCAGGGCCGAGGAGGGCACCAGATCTCAGTATAAGGTTGTGAGCCACCATGTGGGTGCTGGGAATGGAACTCAGGACCTCTGGAAGAGCAGCCAGTGCTCTTAACCTCTGAGCCATCTCTCCAGCCCAACTTGAAGGATTTTAAAGCAGGCTCATCCCCGGGGCTCTTGGTTCCATGAAACCTGAAACAAAGAAAGTACTTGGGCTCCCTGGACCTTGAAACTAGCGCCTTGAATATGCCAGAATCACCTTTGCCTTCTCGATCCAACTGTGAAATTATAGATATTATTGTAAGCCACTAAATTAGTGACAATTTGTTATGAAAGCAATAAAAAAATTTTTAAAAAGGTTATTTAAGCTGCCTCAGTATCCCCAAGGCAGATACAATTCTCAGCTTCACTTTGTGTGGATGCAGAAGCTGAGGCCCAGTGAAAAAGTTCTGGGCAAGTATGCAGATTACTAAGCTGTTTGTTTTAGTCTGCATTCGTGTGTGTGCCTGTGTGTGAGAGTTGGGAACTGAACCCGAGTCTTCTACAGAATAATTCTGGGTGAGGTAACCCACACCAGTAATCCCAGCGCTAGAAAGGCAGAAGCAGATGCATCTCTGAGTTCATAATCAGTTGGTCTACAATATGAGTTCCAGCACAGCTAGAGACATGTAAGAGAGCCCATTTCAAAAATAAAATCAATTAACAGCAACAACAAGTGCTCTTAACTGCTGAGCCATTTAAAAAATAACTTAAGCCAGCAGGTGTATCTCTGTAAGTTCAAGGACAGCCAGGACTACATACAGAGAAACCCTGTCTCAAAAACCAAATAAGCAAGCAAACAAACAAACAAACAAAAAAACCAAATAGTAAGGATCTTAATTTAGTGCTATTTTAATTTTGGTTTTTGGAGACAAGGTTTCTCTGTGTAGCCCTACCCATCCTGGAACTCGTTCTGTAGCCCAGGCTGGCCCTGAATTCAGAGAGCCACCTGCCTTTACCTCTCCAGTGCTGGGATTACAGGTGTGAACGACCACTGCCGGAAATTATTTATTTTTTTATTTTTTAATATTTATTTAGTTTGTATGTGCTTGAGTATACACAGGCCATGGCATATATGTGCAAGTCAGAAGACAACTTGCAGGAGTCCTATTTTCACCATCTGGATCCCAGGGATTGAACTCTGGCTGTCAGCTATGGCAGCAGGCACTTTAGCCATTGAGCCATCTTGCCAGACCCCCAAACAATCATTCTTAGTCAAAGTGTTTGTTATTCAGTTTATTTGCAGTATTAATGGTACAACATTTATAAAACATACTTTGTATAATCAGGCCTCCATGTGGTGGGGTACATAGGGAAGACTATTCCCTCCAACAGCTATAAACAGTCCAAGATAATGAGTTCATGAAAAATATGGTCTTTTTCTTCAGCAAGCAAAATTATTTACGAAGTAGTATGGTTTGGCAATAGAAAGCAAAAGGGAAAAATTACTTAAAAAAAAGCAACAGCCCCTTTCCTGGTGGAATCCATCATTTTACAGACATGAAATATTCATATCAGAGATCTTGTATTTTAAGAGGAATGGGTTACTTTGAGCAACTACAACAAGCGCTTTGCTCATCAGTTATGGGGAATGAGAACGATCTCCCGGATACTGATGCTTGAAAACTTCACATTCACACAAATACATTATCTGCCTCTGAACTTCCTCAGTGTCCTCTAACATCCAAGACCTGCACAAGCGCTGCTTCTGGGGGGAGGGGACTGGGTGTTGTTTGGTGCTGGGCATTAAACCTGGAGACTCAAGGAACACTGATTTTAAGTCAAATCACAGACCTCAAGCAAACTCCTTGAAGGATTTGACTATTGGCCTTTATGAACATGAGATTTTATAAGAAACAAATTAGAACCACTAGCTATTTGCTTGAGTCAGGGTCTTATGTAGCCCAGGTTGGCCTTGAACTCAAAACACTTCTGTCTCTTGCTGCCACGTGCTGTGATTATGGTCACATACCACCATGTTCAGCTAAGACCACCATGTTCAGCTCAGAACAGCCAAACCATTGACTCTCTAAGAACAACACATAACAAGTTAGCATCTTGCTCAATTGGTGGGATTTAAATAGTGATAATTCTCAGGTGAATTCACACTCTTTGTGCTCAAGACAGATTCCAAAGGGAGACTTAAATTAGAAAATTTTAAGGGACCCTCACATAGGCAGAAGCTGTTTTCTTCCTGGCTGATGTATATAAAATACTTAGTACATAGGATGTAGAAACACCTAAGAGTGAGAGATGCTCCCTGGGTATGAAAGACCATTTCTTAAACTAATCGTTGGGGTCTTGGAGCTCACTACACTCATGGGTGATATTCTGTACCAGGTAGGCATCCAGATTCCGGCGACGGTAGACGGATATACTGTCCAGCACCCAGTCCCACATCACCAGATGGGCCTCACACAGCTGCCCAAGCTCTACAGACAGAACACAAGCAGAGATTAGTGTCAAGTCGTTCTACCAGACCAGACTCTAACCAACCCACTCCAAGGTCTGATTACATAAATTCTTAGGGCTAATTATGTAGGAGCCAGATCAGTGCTCTGAAGTGACACATCAGGACACAGAAACTTTTCAGAAGCCAGAGGTAAAAGCCAGTCTCTGGAAACTGAAATAACATGAGCTTTAGCCTTTTAAAGGAAAAGCCACCAGAGAGGGCAAATGGTGTGGAGAAATATCTTAAGAGACAAAACACCATAAGCATGATCACTTGTGTGTAAATGTACATGCAGTACACATGCTTTTTTTTTATGATAGGGTATCACGTATATCTCTGGTTGCCCTTGAACCTGACCTCACAGAGATCCAACTGTCTCTGCCTGCCAAGTACAGGGAGTAACAGTGTACCACTACATCTGACCTCATCTATTACTTTCATAATACAAAACAAAAACAAAGACATTGGTGTAAAGCCTGATGATTTGAGTTTGGGCCTAGAATCCATATGGTGGACAGAGTATTAACTCCCTCAGCTTCCACACACATGCACTTTAAAGCACACGCACACACACAAAAACATAATAGACATTTTAGTCATTCATTCATGCAAACATTTAAAAACAGGCTGAAGGCTGGGCAGTGGTGACCCACACCTTTGATTCCAGCACTCAGGAGAAAGAGGCAGGCAGATCTCTGAGTTTGAGGGCAGCTGGAGAAACACTGTCTTAAAACACACACACACACGAACACACAAAACACTGAGTGCAGTTGAAGCATGTCTATAATCTCAGTACTAAAGAGGCTGAGGCAGAAAGACTGCCAAGTATTTGAGACCAGGATGCATTACATAGCGGACCAACCAAAACCAAACAAAAAACATAACAAAACAGGCCACTCCTGGTGACAATACCTTTAATCCCACCATTCAGGAGGCAGAGACAGGTGTATCTCTTTGAGTTCCAGGACAGCTGGGCCTACATCATGAGACCATGTCCCAAAACCAAAACCCAAAACAAAACAAACCAAAACCAACCAAAACCAACCCCAAACAAACCTAGCTGGGAATTGTATTAGTCAAGTATAGTAGTGACTCAAACCCACCCAACAGGACCCCAGACGACATTTAGTGCAAAGATACTTTACCAGGGCAGCTACTGTCTTCTGTCCAGGCACTTGGCTGTACGATCACAATGGGATGAGTACCCTGCATTCCCAAAAAGGAAAAAGCATTTTGTATTGAAAGGGTTAGACTAACTTTGTAACCTGTATGTCTTCTAAAGCCTATAGTTTTGAGTTTTAGGTCCAGGTTAAGCTAAAGCCTCTTAGTACCTTTCCAGAGAACGAAGAAATGTGACCCTATCTGTGAGGACATATATTAAAAAAGTGAGCAAGCAATGACCTTCACTCAGCAAAAAGAATGACCAGACCCTTGTCTTTGAGATAATGTTTCTTAGCAACCAAACCAGACGACCTCAATCCTTCTTCTGAGTAGCTCCTGACCTCCAGCCAAGAGCCCGCAGCCACAATCTTCAAGGATGAGCTAACCACCCCCATCTTCAATTGCAGCTGCATCCACACTTGGCAGGACTGGCCAAGCTTGAACACCTAAGACTAACCAATTATCTTACTTTATAGCTTCCAATCCAATCCTAAATTGCCAAAACTGCAACTTCAAATTTCCCGCAATTTTTCTTTTAAAAACCTAAGGTCTTTGTCTCCCGGTGCCACTCTTTGCTGACTGGCAGGGGTGACCCCATTGTGCAATGGTTAATAAACCTCTTGTTTTTGCAACGAGTCGTGATCTGTGGGACCCCAAGTCTTACAGTATGTCAAAGCACGGGGTTTGGAAAAGTCTTGTCACCACTTTTACATGGTAAAAAGGGCCAGAAAGAAAAGGCTTGATGCTTGTAATTCCGAAGTCCTTACTCACCCCTCACAATTGGGCCTTTTGCTACAGGGTCAGGGATAGAGAAAGCCCTCTGTGCTACTTTACCTGCTTAATGGAAGGAGAGTATTTCCCTCACCTTAAGGAGGCCTCGGATACTCATGGTGTCATGAGTGAGCGATGGAAGCTCCTTCACCACGGAAGCCCCACACAGCTGCAGCATCCTCTCCAGCTCATCTACAAAGCACAGGTGAAAAATCACCAGAGCCACCCACACCCATGCTCCGTGCCCTCTACAGTCTTCCCTGGAGCAAACCTCAGTGAGCAAGCTGGTTTTTGTTTTAAAGGATAGAAGGACCTCAGAATTAGTATGGCTTCTAAGTCAATCTGCTAAACTGCTAGATACTATGTGAAAAACATCATCTCTCTTCTTCGTTCCTGCATCCCATTTCACTGCTGATTGGTAATAGATAATCATGGCCTCTGAGAGCACCTGGACGGTAATCACTCTAAATGTGAAAAGACAGTAGAGGCCTAGCATATCACTAGGAAAGGTCACATGATGAGTTAGAATCCACTTATCTAGGGAAGGAATCTCAAATGAGGTTGGGCCCAAGAATCAGCAGCACTGAGCAACCTTCCTGGCTTCTTTGGCTGCGCTCAAAGCATCCTAGCACTCTTCCAGAAGGAACATCTGCTCATCCCTGGGAACTGTGGAGGTGCATCTGCCTGCCTGCCTGAACTGAGGCTACTAACTTAGGCCCTTCTACAATGACACCCATTAGCACCCCTGGCTTTCACTATATTAAAGTCTAAAAACAGAAATCACTTGAGTGGCACTAGAAATTTTCTAAAAATATACACTGCCAGGCTCCCTTGCTACTACTCATCTGCTTATGGCCCATGGCCCTCAACCTATGGGTCACCTCCCTTTGGGGGCTGTAGAGCAGATATCCTGCATATCTTTATAATATTTACATTATAATTCCCAATAGTATCATATTGAAGTTACAGCTATGGAGTAGCAATGAAATAATTTTATGGTTGGAGGTCACCACAGCATGAGGAGCTGTACTTCAGGGCTGCAGCATCAGGAAGAGAACCACAGGAAGAGAGCCACTGCTCCTCGGCCTCCCTCTCCTAAGTCCCAGGACTGCAGTCCCTGGAGCTGAAGTGAAGCAGATAAAAAGAACTAACTAAACCTATACATGGACAGGGGCCTTTGATATGCAAGAGCAGAAGCCCCAGTAGTCTTCCCTTGTGACACAGGACTCAGGCAGCCCCTGCTGTGTGAGCTTGTATTCACAGATGGCCCCAGATTGTTGATTCACCTGCTTCTACCCAAGTGTTTGGATTACAGGCAGAGGTCACTAAGTCCAGCTTCAAAGCAGTTTTAATGGTCACATCACATTTAATATCAAATTGAACTAAAAATACTCATCAGGAGATACCCCCGCCCCCCGGCCTGTACATGGCCCAGACCCATAAAACTTAACTAAATGAAGGTGGAAGGAAGAACAGAACTCTTTTTTGGTACTTAGAAACTCCAGTTTTTTGGTTTGTTTTTGAGACAGGGTTCTCCCTCAAACTCAAAGTGCTGGAATTAAAGGCATGCGCTGAAGACTGGATGGCTCAGTGGTTAAGAGCACTGATTGGTCTTACAGAGGTCCTGGGTTTGGTTCTGAGCACCCACACGGTGGCTCACAACCATCTGTAACTCCAGTTCTAGGATATCTGACTTCTCTGATCTCTGTGGGCTCCCAGCACACAAGTGGTGCTAGGACATGCAGACAAAATAAAAAGGTGTAATAGCAGAGGCAGGTGGATTCTGAGTTTAAGACCAGCCTGGTCCACATAGCAAATTACAGGGTGGCCAGGGCTACAGAGAAACTTTACTTTGTTATCATTCATTCATTCATTACAAATTATTCACTTTGTATCCTGGCTGTAGGGTCCTCTCACCTCTTCTCCCAATCCCACCCACCCTCTTCCTTCTCCCCCTATTCCTCTCCCCCAGTCCACTGATAGAGGAGGTGCTCCTCCCCTTCCATCTGACCCTAGCCTATCAAGTCTCATCAGGACTGGCTGCATCATCTTCCTCTGTGGCTTGGCAAGGCTGCAACCCCCCACGGGAGGTGATCAAAGAGCCTGCCGCTACAGAGACCCTTTCAAAAAACAAACAAAACTACAGCAACAAAGGCATATTCCGCCATACCCGAGTTGTTCTTACTGGTTTCTCATTCCTGCCCTTCCTTAGTCCAAACGAGCAGTAACAGAAGCTCGATCCACACAAGCACAGAATATAGCACCCTAAATCCTCGCTCCTTCACTGGTCTCATAGGAAAACACATGCCTTTCTTTTTTGTCCCAGGGTGTTTAAATGCTTGTTCGTTTAGAGAATGGTAGAGAAAAAAATAACTCTGGAACTTCTGAGTAATCTGAGGAACCTCCATATGGCCTGACCCTGTCCATACTACTGTCTCGTAAGAATGGCTGCAGCCCTCCCAGGCTCTTACCTTTGGACATGTTGGTGAAGGGCTCACAACAACAGATCTTCAGGCCCTTGAAGAGCTGCAAAGAGAAGAGAGTGATGGGGTAGAGAGGAAGTCTAACTTTTAAATGTTTGTGTGTGAGAAAGAGGAAGCAAAGTGCACGCCACATGTCTAAGGAGGCCAGAGGAGTACATCAGATCTTCTGGAGCTAGGGATCAAAATCAGGCCTTCTGAATGAGCAGCAAGCACTAGCTGATGAGCTACCTCTTCAGTTTCTTTCTACCCTTTGTGTCAGACAAGATCTTAAGGTGGTCTCAAACTTGTAGGTTTGGCATTGGACTTCTGTTTCCACTTCCAAATGCTGAGGCTAACAGGAACACCTCACCACACCCAGAGCATGAGTTTTTATAAGAAACAGAGACCCTCCCTTTAAATGGAAGAATCTTTCTTTACCACTTGAGACTTCTGTGCTCCTTCCCAGGGACAATCAGTTTAATATCCTGAACTGATTTCAGATTTTGCTGAATTGCATAAACAATCTATATTCTAGAGTCATTTTTTATTTACTTTTATTTTATATACATTAGTGTAAAGATGTCAGATCTCTGAAGTTACAGACAGTTGTGAGCTGCCATGTGGGTGCTGGGAATTGAACCCAGGTCCTTTGGAAGAGCAGACAATGCTCTTTACCAGTGAGCCATCTCTCCAGCTCGAGTCAATTTTTAATAATTATTTTTAGAGTCATTCTTAAAATAATAATAATAATTGTGTGTATGCCATGTATGTCCAAGTGCTAGTGGAGGCCAGAAGTGTCAGATTTCCTGATGCTGATGGTGTAGGGAATTGTGAGCCACCCAATGTGGACACTAGGAATGAGGGTCCTCTGAAAGAGCAGCAAGTGTTATGAACCTCGGAGACAACTCTCTGGGTTCCTATTCTTTGTCATTCAAAGGATGAATTCCCATCTTGTCATCAATCAGGTCCAGGCTCATGCTTGGTGACCCACGAAAAGTGGTTTTATTCCTTTGTCAGAGATGAGGAAAACAAACCCACAAACAATCCCACCTGGTCCATCTTTATGTCTAATGGCCAGAAACTCAAGATGCTTACTTAGATTGTTAAATCAGCACTTAACATGACTCCAGGAAGCAGAGTGTTTTTACGTGGACATGCTCCATTTCTGTTCTTGTCAATGATCCCTTCTTTTCTTCACAGGGCCCTGAGTAAAGACACTTTGTTTCGAGACAGGGTTTCTCTGTGTAGCCCTGGCTGTCCTGGAACCCACAGGCAACTGTCTGACTCTGCCTCCTGAGTGCTGGGGTTAAAGGTGTGTACCTCTTTAACTGCCCCCCTCCAGCAAGGAGCTGGTGTAATTAAAAACAGGGCTTCACAGTGTCTCAAGCTGGCCTCTAATGCAGTCTGTAGCCAAGGTCGTCCTCCAACTCCTTACCTTCCTGCCTCAGCCTGCCAAGTAGTAGGATTACAGGTAAATGCCAGCACAGCGGACTGGGTTGTGCTTTATAAGTGTGTGTGCGCACATGGGTGCATAAAGGCCAAAAGACGGCTTTGGTTGTTATTTTCTCAAGTGCCACCCAAGGGGGTTTAGCTAGCAAGCTGGAGGGATCTGCCTGTCTCCATTTCCTCAGTACTGTGCAATGAAAGAGCATGCCACCATGCCATACTTAAATAATCCATCTGTCTCTAACTCCTGAGTGCTGGGATTATAAACGTGAACCACCATATCTGCATTCAACTTCATTTGCAACCAAAGTTGGAACAGCTCTGTGTGTCTAGTAACAACTGTTAGTATACCTTGGCATGAGTTCTTAGAAAGGGTTTCAAGCTATCATTTTAAAGAAACCTAAATTTGTGCAGCTTTTAATATTTTTTAAAGATTTATTTATTTATCTATTTATTATTGATTATTTATACAGTACTCTTCCTGCAGGTAGGCCTGCAGGCCAGAAGAGGACACCAGATTTCATTATAGATGGTCTTGAGTCACCATGTGGTTGCTGGGGATTGAACTCAGGACCTTTGGAAGTGCAGACTGTGCTCTTAACCACTGAGCCCTCTCTCCAGACCCTTAATATTTCTTTTTTTGATACACGATCTCAATCTGTAGTTTAGGCTTCAAACCACAGTCCTGCTTTATTTAGCATTGAGTGGTAGGATATAGGAGTGCCATCAGACCTAGGATGGATGAATACACTCTCATTTATCATTTGAATAACTCATTTTTTTTTTTTTTTTTTACTGTCTTTGTGCTGTCTTATGACACTAAAGAAAATTGTCCAGGTCTAAAAATCACCTAGACGCAGAGGCTGAGACACAAAAATCAAGGGACTAAACACAGCTGGCTGTACTGGAAATGGCTCCACCCACCCTGCAGGGAGAGAATGAGGGCAGCAGGCAAATCGGTTATTGTTGGGAATGAGTTCCCACCTCTGCTGTTCTCTCCCAATCTCTATGAATAAAACGGATCTCCAAAGTACTGACAGGACCTAGATGCTCATAAATGCTAGTTCCCTCCAGTTGGAGCTGAACACTGCCTTGAGGAGTATAAAACATTAGGAACTTTCATATCCAGGCTGACACTTACTGATGAGAATGTCTAGTGATGAGATAAGGAATCTGAAGATTCACCTGTGCGAATACATTTCTTTGTGAAAATAGTGTAGTGACATTTTGGTATCTTCTGAATGTCACTACTTTGCCACGCAGCTTCCATCACTGCTATTCTGAATGTAAAAGAAATCCTAAGGCATTTTGAGCAAGAAGGAACCTGGTGCTAATTCTGCAAGGCTCCCAGATAAGAACAAATGGTTGGCTCATAGAGAACTCCTTGAGGAAAAGGGAGAAGTAGAAGTAGGCTGAGCACTTTTCTTGGCATCTGGAACAGTTATTTGATAGGCTCAGAGAGTGAGGATGGGCTGATCCCAAGGACTTAGGACTCCAGGCTTGATTTGTGATCCTGTCCAAAGCAGTTTTCCTTAGAAAACCACCTTTACCGGTTTCCTCTCAAGTTTCTCTGAAGGAACAGAAGGTGCTTCGTATGGGAATGTTCTGAAACACCTGCTGGTACACACTTGAACAAGAAAAGCAGCCTGGGAACACAAGCACTTATCCAGTAACCTGAGAAAGCGGTTGGCTCAGGCCTGCCCGGCAGGTGGGAAATCTTGGGAAGACTTCTTCCTGCAAGGAGGCTCCACCATCTGCTATAATATGGTGGGGAAAGTCATTGAGCGTGCTGCTCTTATTAGCAAAGTTGCTGGGATGGTCTGTTTTGTCTTGTAAAGCCATCTATAACTTTCTAAAGCTGTGACACTCGTGAATCTAGATTTGGAACTTGAGCATATGGTTTCAACTTCTTCTATCACTTACTAGCTTAAGTGACCCTGGGGAACTTATGCTACCTGGACCTCAATTTTCTCATATGTAAAATATGAGGTATGTATGGTATAGGTCATAATAGCACACACATCACTGTGTTGTAAACTGTTGACTATGGATCACTTCCTTTCTGTGCCCACAGGTTGCACCATGCCCGCCCTATTCACAGCAGTTACTGTGCTGCCTAGAGCAAAGTCACCAGGGTCACACAAGTGCAAAAGGTTTAGGTTCACATCTCTGTAATACAAGCTCTGTCACTATCAGCTGAGATCTAAACCTCAGACTGGAACCCAGATTGCAACTGCTATTGTCACCTTTATGTCTCCTTACTTATGAGGCAGAAGCAATCCATGTTTGCCAGTGTGCTGACAGCAAACATGCAATGTGCCTTACCAGGTAAAGAGCAACCTGACCACAGCAATTGGCTGTACAGAGCTAGACTGTGGGTTCTGTCACATATAAGAAGAATTTTACCTTGTCCTGGGATTCTCTGGATCGCTTTGGACCTTGGTGGTTTCTCCCAGTCACAACATCTCCTCTGACCTCAAATTCATGCTGAAACCAAACACACAACTCTATGGTCAGTGGGATGGGAGATGGCTCAGCAGTTAAGAGTTAAGCATTAAGCAATTAACATCCTGCAGAATTTGGTTCCTAGTTCCCACACCTGGCTGCTCAGGACCACCTGTTACTTCAGTTTCAAGGGAATCTGATACAAGCTCTACAGGCACTGCAATCATGTGGACAAATCCAGAGAGACAGACAGACACAGACACACACACAGAATTTTAAAAAGTAGGCCGTGTGACCTAACTTTCAGGCTAGCCAGTACTGTATAATGAAACCTTGTCTTTATTTTTTCTATTTTTTATTACAAGGCTGTGTAGCCTGGCTGGTCTGGAACTTGGAAATATTCCTGACTCTGCCTCCTCTCAAGAGCTGAGATTAAAGATGTATGACACCAAATCTGGGAGAGACTCTGTCTTAGAAAATTTATTTTAGGGGGCTGGAGAGATGGCTCAGTGGTTAAAGAGCGCTGACTGCTCTTCCAGAGGTCCTTAGTTCAATTCCCAGCAACGACAGTGTCCCACAACCATCTAAACTAGGATCTGATGTTTTCTTCTGGCATGCAGGTCTACATGCAGATAGAGCATTCCTATACATAAAAAATTTAAATAAATAAATATATCTTAAAAAAATTTTTATTTTAAAAATTCATTCTTACTTTTAATTTTATGTTACAAGTATTTTGTCTGCATGTATGTATACATATGTATGCCTAGTAGCCAAAGAGGTCAGATCCCCTGAAACTGGAGTTACAGATTGCTGTGAGAATCCATGAGGCTGCTGGAATAAAATCCTGGATCCTTGGAAGAGTAGCAAGTGCTCTTAATCATTGGCTGCTCTTCCAGATGACTCAGGTTTAATTTTCAGCATCCACATGGCAGTTCAAAACGGTCTGTAACTCCAGGTCTGGAGGATCTGACACCCTCACACAAACCGAATACATGCAGGCCAAGCACTGAAGCACAACTTGCTGAGCCTGGCTCTCTCCAGCTACCATGTAGGTCCTGAGGCTTGTGTTTGGGTTGTCAGGATGGGCAGCAGTGCCTTTACCTAAGCTATCCCAACACCCCCAAAGCAAATCTTTGTTGAAATTACCAATTGGCTTTCACCTCTCGGGCTTGATTTTTTTTTTTTTAATGTATTTTATTTCTAACATTTGTACCTTCTCAAAACATTCACTTAGCATTTAGATTAAACTGCCAGCATTGAGGATTCTTGATCACTTAAATCAATTGTATATTGTCAGCTGAAGAAATTAACAGCTTTTCAGAGTTCTGCTGAGAGATTTACAGTTAACGAAGTCAAAAATGATAAGACGGGACCAGTTGAGATGGCTCCCTCAACAGGTAAAGGTACTTCCCATGAAGCCTAACAACCCGAGCCCTTCCCCCAGAAGCCATAAACAGGTAGGAGACTCTACAAAGTTGTCTCTATAACTCTGTATACAAACACACACATCCTATTTTGAAGAAGCTCAGTTTTTTCATAGTAACTATTTTGATAAGAGAAAGAAATGGGCCTGGGAGTTTAGTTTTGGGGGAAGAGTGCTTAGCAGCCATTGTGAGTGGAACTTGTCTTTAGGAGGACTTGCTAAGCATTGTTGTGGAGTATCATGAAACCCAGCAAGGGACTAGAGACGACTCGGTGGGCAAGGCTCTTGCTGCCACACTTGACAATCTGTTTGATTCCCAGCCTCCACATGGTAGGAGAGAACGGACACCTGATGACCACAAGTTGTTCTGATCGCCACACATGTGCAAAGGCACACATCTTCTATGTGTGCTAAATAATAAATAAAAAGTCAACTAAATAAAAAGTCAACCCCCAAATAGAGACTATCTCCATTCTTCCAATTATCCTAAGAAAAAAGCTCAAATCACTACTGGGGCTTAACACAAACTCTTTCTGAGCTGGTCCTTGTGTGACTTCTCCCCCTCATCCAACCCTTGCTCCCTACACAAACCTCACCATTAACCTTTCTTCACTGCAATGTCTATTTTTCTATAACAAGCCAAACTCACTCCTACACCCAAATCTTTATGTTTTCTGTTCCTGCCTATAAGAATTGTTCTCCACATTTTTCAAAGGCAATTCTTTCTTGTTATTTAGGTCTCAGCTCAGTTTTCCACAAAGGCTTCACCTGGCCTCTACAAGTGAGGTAGGGAAGCCTTGACTCCAGACAATTGCTAGTCTGCTGTCCATCATGGCATTTATTGGTATATTAAATTCATCTGTTTATTGTGTATCTCCCCTGACTAGGGCATACATCATTCCAGAATAGGAAACTGGTCATTTTTGTTTATTTGTATTTCTAGTAATGGACACTTAGGAGACTTGCAATAAATGGTTGCTAAATGAAATTAAAACCAACAAAAGTGTCATTTAATTGTGAATATATTGAGTAGTGTATAACAATTTCAAAGAGATTCCACTAATTTTGTTTTGTGTTATCTATTGTCATCACCAGCTCTTGGCTGTTCTAAACTTATTCTTCCTCCTACATGCTTACCTTATTTACCTTTCACTGTTCTTAGTATCATAAAAAAGCATTTCTTGGAAGGAAAGTATTTTTTTTTTCCCCGAGACAGGGTCTCATGTAGCTTTTGCTGGCTTTGAGCTCATTATGTAATTTAAGGAAGAACAAACCTCTCATCCTGCTGCTCCCACTAGCCTAGATTACAAGCTTGTGTAACGTATTTATGAGGTGCCAGGGATCAAACCCAGGGCTTAAAAGACAGGCACAAATTAAGCCACATTCCTACCCAAAGTCTTTTTCTTTAACAATGGTGAATAGCCAGATTCCTACAAAGGTGTACACTTTTTAAGAGTCAGCAGAAAAGATGGCTACAGAGATGGCTTAGTGGTTAAGAGCACTGGTTGCTCTTGCATAGCACCTGGGTTCAATTCCCAATACCCACATGGCAGCTTACACTTGTCTGTAAAAAAGTCAGGAGGAGCTTCGTGTGGTGGAGCACACCTATAATCCTATAATCCCAGTGCTTGGGAGACCAGACAGGACTGTTTCTGATTTTCTTTTTTTTAAAGACAGGATCTTGATCTGGGCAGTGGTGGTTCAAGCTTTTAACTCCAGCACTCAGAAATGTAGATATCTGAGTTCAAGGTCAGTCTGGTCTATATCATGAGCTTCAGGATAGCCAGGGCTACACAGAGAAACCCTGCCTTGAAACAACAAAAACCAACCAACCAGCTGGGTGTGTCGACAGCACTCAGGAAGAAGCAGGTGGATCTCTGTGAGTTCAAAGCCATCCTGGTCTACAAAGTAAGTTCAGGACAGCCAAAGCTACACAGAGAAACCCTGTCTTGACAACACCACCACCACCAAAACCCAAGCAATCAACCAAAATGACAAGCTCTTGTTACGTTGTTCAGTCAGGCCTTAGACTCCCAAGTGCCAGTGTTACAGATGTGCACTACCTCATGTATGTCTGGAGGTGGCTCATGATTTGCTTCTATAAATTTTCATTCATTCTGTAAATTCCTTTCTTTCTCCAAAGAAAAAATTTCCTTTGAAACCTAGAATGAATAAGAATATGGCGTTTCCTGGCCTGCTGTGCATCATTCTTCATGTTCCTCCTTGATGAGGAAAAAAAAGGTGTGTGTTCTCAAGGAAGAAAGCAGAATCAGGCCCCACCCCCGCCTGTAACACCAATACCAACCAAGTGTCTCTGATTAGTTTGTATCAAGTACTTACCACATTTAGAAGTTTTCTTTCTTGGATAGACCGGATTACCCCTGAAGAGAATACAGAAAAGATAAATCACACAGAGTATGTTCTTTTGTGGAGATGGGGAGCTCAGCTAGTCACAAGAAAGTGGACTTTTTTTAAAAAAAAAAAAAAATTTATTTATTTTTTATTATATGTACATTGGTGTTCTGTCTGCATGTATGCCTGTGAGGTTGTCAGATCCCCTGGAACTGGAGTTACAGACAGTTGTGAGCTGCCATGTGGGTGCTGGGAATTGAACCCAGGTCCATCTGGAAGAACAGCCAGTGCTCTTAATGGCTGAGCCATCTCTCCAGCCCCAAAAGTGGCCTCTTTAATAAGGCTTGTGGCAGAGTTCCTTCTGGAGACAGCTGATGCATAAGCATTATACAAGTGCCACTGTACATGGACCCCTGACCACTATTAAATAAAACCCTGTTTACATGCTAACACTGCTAACAGAAGATTAGGCTCTATATATTAAAAAAAAGCAATAACAAAACCAAACAAACAAAAGATACACTTTCTCTGGATCACCAGCGGATCTGAACAAAGCAAGTTTTGTGTTACCACTAAAAACCCCTTGGCAGCTCAGACTTGGCATCAGCAGAAACCTCAGGTGTTAACATGTCGGGTGCAAAATGCAGCTGAGGTGCTAAAGGAGGCATCAGAGGCACCCACCCCACACCATGCATTGTACTCACATGAATAGCTAACTATCCACTTTCCTCCTGCAATTCCTAGAAAATACTTCAGCGTCCGTTCACACACAAACTGAGCATCTGCAGAATGAAAAACATCCAAAGGGTGAGAAACACACAAGCAGGAAGTACTGCCACCCCCCACCCCAGAAGCTGGAGCCCCAGCTCTCAAGATCAGTCTGGAATTGTGATTCACCAGGACGATAACCAGGTTTGGACGCCTGGAAGAGGCAGATGCCACGTTAAGACCAGAGGAATTGTCGGCCTCAGCTTTGGGGTGCCAAGGCTAGCTAAAGAGTCCTATGTTAATTATCCTCATTAGCAACAGTGATTAATGTGGACAGAAATCTGTTTTACCAGATAGCAATATGTGAGAGAAGAAAATAGTGTTGACGTCCTAAACTTGGGGAAAAAAAAAGCCTAAATCAGCAATGACAATGTGACAGAAGTTCACCCCTGCAACTTCGACCCGGGGGACCCTAGCCCCCTTGTATTCCTGAGAGGGACAGGAAACTGGTCTTGTCACAGCTATTCTCTTTTCTGTGTAGGCATTCCAACAAGCAGTAGCTGAAGAATCTGTTTATTGCCTAGTGTTTCAAAGGCCCCTTTGAAGAACTAAGCAAACTGAGAAAAAAACAAAACAAAAAACATTTAAACAAGAGAAATGTATTCAGCCGAATCCCAAACACAGCAGGCCATCCAAAAGCAGTAGAAGTGTAGAAGTGGCCATTCTGCCTCACAGAATCCTCACAATTTTTGAAGCTTTTTGTTTAAATGCTATAAAAGCTGACTTTAATTCACAAGCGATAAATGTTGCCTTTGAGTTTAAAGAGTTACTTTAGGTTTAATTTTTATTTTATAGCTCTCTTTTCACCCTTTGACAACTTTGATCCAAACCTATTGCTTTAAATATATTAAAATTGTTCTCACACCTGATTCCAATGAACACTGCTCTCTGGTACAGTTTTCATGAACAAGAAACGTAGATTTTAGCAGCCTTAAGGCAGCAAGTCAAAGAGTTTTGGGCCCATTGGTGAAGGCTGGTGTTCTCCAGAGAGAACTATCCCAGAATGGGCAAGAGTATATCAGAGAACCAATTCTATTAACGAGGTGTGGCCATAATTTGCACCCCATCTCCCTGTGCACTGTTTTTTTTGTTTTTTGACAATAATTCTTCAGATGCTAAAAGATGGATATCTTGGACCCCTCAGTCTTCTCATTCCTTTATCCTCTGTCAAACATCACTAATTTTTAAAAAAGATTTGTTATGCTTGGATGTATGTATATCATATGCTTGCCTGGTGCCTAAAGTCACAAGGGGGCGTTGGAGCCTGTGGAACTAGAGTTTTGGAAGGTTGTGAGCTGCCATGTGGGTGCTAGGAACCAAACCTGGGTCCTCTGCAAGAACAAATGCTCCTAACAGTGAGTCATTGTTCCAAACCTCAAACTACATTATTTTGAGTTTCTTGTCCCCATCTACCTCTTGATACTTTTTAAAAATATTTTATTATTTTTATTATATATACATTGTATCTGCATGCACACCTGCATGCCAGAAGAAGATACCAGATCTTATTATAGATGGTTGTGAGCCACCATGTGGTTGCTGGGAATGGAACTCAGGACCTCTGGAAGAGCAGCCAGTGCTCTTAAGCTCTGAGCCATCTCTTCAGCCCCTTGATACATTTTTTTTTTTTTTTTAAAGATTGCTTAAAAAAAAGAAAAAAGAAAAAGAACACAGGGTGTGGTAGTGCAGGCCTGTAATCCCAGCACTCTGGGAGGCAGAGGCGGGTGGATCTTGTGAGTTCCAGGCCATCCTGGTCTACGAAGCCCAGCCAAGGCCACACAGAGAAATGCTGTCTTGAAAAAACAATTAAAAACTTCATTATTGTTTTATGTTTAGAGGTATTGTCTGTATGTACGCCTGTATACCACAAGAGGGCATTAGATTGTGAGCTGCCAAGTGGATGCTGCAAATTGATCCCAGGTCCTCTAGAAGACCAGCCAGTGCTCTAGCGCCCTCCTGATACTCTAAGCTTCTTAGTTGCCACTGTGAAAAAGCACCGTGCTCAGCATAGAGGATATCACCTAGACAGTCGCTGCAGAAAGGCTAAATCCATACTTCACTTGCTACATATATTGGGCGTGTAGTAAGGCAGGACAATTTCAAGCAAGCTTTTCAGCAGCCTGAAATTTTACTCAGATTTTACACTGCCAAGTGAAAACTCCCAGTGCTATCTTATGCACAGTTAAGACTGAAGGTGCAGAAAGATACATCATGGAGCTGCTCCACTCTTCCTCTTTTCATGTTAAGGTTTAGGACCTGCTTCCTGAAACACGCTCAGCCACTCAAGCCAGGAGCCACATGCAGCTAGCTAGTCTCCAGAGTCTGAGCAAAGACTTACTTCTACCCTGTTCTCTCCTATGCCCTAGTTGCTCTTCTGTGATTTGGTCTTTGTTCTATACTCACCAAACTCCAGGCAGGTAGACAGGAAATAGTCCCCAAATTTAATCCAAAAGAAGGTGGTCAAACAAAATGGCTATCTTTAAAAAGCGAAGAGTGACTACTGGGCACTTCATCCATGGCAGACTTAAAGATATGCTAGGCCCAAAAATATGCTGGAAAATTTGCATATATGAGAAATATTCCATGCATGACAAAATATCCAATTTTTGTTGCTGTTGCTTCATTTTTTTTTTTTTTTTGGGAGACATAGTCTTGCTTTATAGCCTAGGCTAGCCTTAAACTTCTGATCGTCCAGCCTCAGTCTCCTGAATGTTGAGATCATGGGTGTGAGTGAGCAAAGCCAACTTGTTTATGTTTTTTATATATATCCCAAGGGTAACTTTTTATTTGTGGTGCTAGAAATAGTACCTAGAACAGTGGTTCTCGGCCTTCCTAAAGCTGTTGCCCTTTAATGCAGCTCCTCATGTTGTGGTGATCCCCAACCATAAAGTTACTGTTGTTGCTACTTCATAACTGTAATTTTGCTACTGTTATGAATCATAATGTAAATATAAACATCTGGGCTGGAGACATAGCTTACTGGTTAAGAGTACAAAATGCTCTTCTAGAAGACCTGGGGTTCAATTCCCAGCACCTAAATGGTGGCTTACAACCGTCTACAACACCAAGATCTGACACTCTCTCACAGACATACACGTAGGCAAAACACCAATATACATGAAATAAAACAGTTTTTTTGTTGTTTTTTTTTTTCCAGAGCTGAGGACCGAACCCAGGGCCTTGCCCTTGCTAGGCAAGCGCTCTACCACTGAGCTAAATCCCCAACCCCGAAATAAAACAGTTTTAAAAATTCTATAAATATCTGTGTTTTCCCATAGTCTTAGGTGACCTCTGTGAAAGGGTTGTGCAACCATGACCAGAGGTTGGGAACCACTGGTCTAGGGCCTTGTGTGGGCCAGGTGAGTCTGTTCTTCCACTAAGCGGCATCTGCAAACCCTGAAGGCAAATTTTCACAATGTTTCACATGCCTACATTGTGAATGCAAACTGTCACACGAAGGGTGGAATTTTCCACTTGCAATGTTATGTCCATATTCAAACAGTTGTAGATCTGAACTTTTGGATTATGGATGCCCGACTTGATTGATATGGCTCTTCATATGGCTTATGAGGTAAATGAAACATAGTCTGTAAAAGTCTGTAGTATACCTGTTTTTATTATTACATGTGTAGTCTCCTCAGTAATTTCATCAGTCAAAGTGAGGCCGTATTTTTCAGCAAACTTCTGCACAATCATCTGAAACGAAAATCAAATACTGAATTATGCTGCTATCTCTGGTACAAAGCTTAGAGCATTAATTATTCTAATTTTGAGTCTCCATTCCCAGGAAGGGCACATCTCTAAAAAAAATTTAAAATATTATGTACGCGTGCATCCACGTGTGCATGTACTTCAGCACACATGTGGAAGCCAATGGACAACTCTATGGAGTTGGTTCTCTCCACTTTCATGTGTGTGGGGATTGAATTCAGGCTATAAGGCTTACATGGCACATACTATTGCGTCACTGTGATCACTCCACCTGGGCTTTTAAACATATAACATAGCTGAAGTCTCAAAATTGACAATTTAATAAAATCTATGCATAAATCATCCAGGCATGGTAGTACACACATTTAATCCCAGCACTCAGGAGGCCTAGAGGCAGAGGCAGGCATATCTCTATGAGTTCAAGGCCAGCCTGGTCTAAATACGGAGTTCTAGTCCAGCTCTGGCTACAGTGAGATCTCGAACAAACAATGCCCCTAATCCTCCAAACAAACAAACAAACAAACAAACAAACCCAAAACCATGTGTAAATCAGAGAAAAACATTCTAAATACAGTTTACGTAGGACTAGAAGCTATGGAGTTACAAGTAGATCATATGACTTGATTCTGAGTTTCTTTACAGGATGACAGCCCACTATCCTGTAATAGATTTATCAGCTTACATCTCATAAACCGAACAGTAACTAGCCTTATATAGAAAGTTCTGCTGTAGCTAGATATATATAGCTTAAAACCAAGACTTAACTGATAGTTACAAAGCACTCAAGGAAAGATATTTGTACAGTCAGTACAAAAAATAAAATATCGGAAGAGACTATCTTCCCAAAAGAAATCTAGTCTCTTAGTTATTATCAAGCAAATAAAAATCAATAGGCAGTAAAAGAAATTAACCAGATCCATTACAGGCACAGTTGACATAATTGGTAGCTACTGTTTGGTAAATAAGCTTGTTTACCAAAGAGCGTCATTTTCTAACCCTTGCTGCCCACACAGACATTTATATGCCCCTTAGTACAACAATGGAAGACAGCCACCTTTCATGCTGCCTTACTTACATACTGCCACTGAGCACTGGAAAACAGCATGCTGGAGAAGCTAATGCTGCCCTCCTCCAACTTCGAGGCTGCCCTCTGCCAGTGTCCTTAGCAATTCTGAACTGGTTAATTGCTGAAATCCCAGCTTTAAAACAGTGTTCAGTTAGACAAGCAACTGCTGAAAAGATCATCTTAATACAGGCTTCAGAATTAATCATGTGTAATACAGTCAGTGGCTTTCATCATAAATTTAACACACTTCAGCAAGTCTGAATAGAGCTCAAAGTTTTCCTCTTTGCTTGTTTAAAGAAAGCATGTACCCAAGCTACTTGTAGTTTAATCTGCAGCTCAGAATTGCCCAAGGCAAAAATGATTAGACTACTCTAGCTAGCTCTAAAAAGCTGAACTCACAAAACAAAGAAATAGGGAGGAAAAATTTTCAGTGAACAAATGGGAGTTCTAGATGTGTAAGCAAGTCCATCAAGAGCTAGTTAAACAAACACAAGTAAGAATTTTCACAGCAAATTGCTGTCTGAGCATGGGATTGTGAGGTGACAATACCAAGAGTTATTATCCGGTACTTATACATTTTATCTATCAGGACAAAGCTTGCCTTGTCTTTTCAGTAGAGGACATGTGGAGCCACTGAGAATTCATGCTGAGGCACCACCTGTGGAGCGGTTAGGATGTGGATGGTGCACAGCCCATGAACACTTCAGAATGATTTGGTTGCCTCTCGGTATGCAATAAAAATGGCATCTACTATTAAATCCAATTGATTGTCTGACATGTTATCATATATTGTTATAACAGTTAATTATAAGAGAAATGAATTTCCCAGAATGCTTGAAATGTACAAGCGATTTAAAGAGAAACATGGGTTCAGTGAACTTATTGTTATTCCCATCTCTGACACAGAGAGCCATGAAGGTACCCAAATCCTCATAAGCAAGGGGGTGCTACAGGACAGATAGGAAGCACAGAGCAAGTTATCATCAGCCAAGATAGAGACAAATCCTGGAGAAATGGCTCTGTCTCGGAACCAGTCTACTTTGAGTTACACATGTTCCTAAGTTTACTTAGATGTGAGCCGAGGAGGGAAGATGATGCCTTCTGAAGAGGGGTGCTATATCCAGTTACCCCCACCTTTGATAAAAACAAATCACCACCAATACATAATTCAAACACTGTATCATACCCTCAAGGTGGCTAGTATTCAGTAAGTATTTCCTCAAATTCATTTCTTCCCACAGGTTTTTCATTGCTAGTACTTATATTAATTAAGCAGTCTAAGTCAAGTCCCTGCCATAGGGATACATATGAACACACTCACTGCTTCTTTGTGGGTCAAGCCTGATACCACCATGGATATTTCTGTATGGGTTCTTTCTTCTGAAGATGTCAGTTCTGGCTTTCTCTTGCCCAAAGCCTCTAGCCCTGCCGTATCAGCCCAAGCAGCAGCGGGACTCTTGGAAGACCCAGCACCTTGACACTGGGATATTTTCGGTGCAGAGGTTGAAGTTGATGTGCAACCACGAGCTGGCTCTTTAGGGGACTCAGACTCGGAGTTTCTGATAGAGAAAAGGCTGATTCCAGATTCCAGGGATGGGGTTCCTTCTGAAAGGAGAGAAGTTTAACTTAGGTGGCAATAATGCTGACTTCTAGGTTCCAGTCTCTGCAAAGAATTTAAAAGACCCATTAAGTTATGTTATTAGAATACTGTTGGTGAAAGCAATGTGCCTTAATTTCTCTAAAGAATAACATGACATTATATGTAAAACAAACAAAACCCCTCACATAACATGAGGTTGAAGAGATGGCTGTTCTTCCAGAATACCCAGGTTTAGTTCCCAGCACCTTCATAGTAGCTCAAAATTGCTTCTAATTCAAATTCCAAGGCACCATTCTTCTGACCTCTAAGTACCAGGCATGCATGTGCTGCACTGACATACATGTATGTAAAACACACACACACTTACTCCAACAGAGCCATTTTCATCCATTATAGTTCTCTTTTAACATTTACTTATTTTGCACATGGAATCCAGAGGGCAACTTGCCCAGACATCTCTCTGGCCTAGCCATTACATTTTATACTTTGAAAATGAATATACTTATTCATTCATTCATTCATTCATTCATTCATTTATTTGTTGTGTCTATGTGCACATAATATAGAGGCCAGAGGACAATTTATAGGGTTTGGTTCTCTCCTTACACCCTAAGAATCCCAGAGATTGAACTCACAAGTCATCAGACTTGGTGGCAGTGCTCTTACCTTATAAGCCATCTTGCCAGTCCAGTCCAGAAACATTTACTGTCATGAGGCCTGGTGGCATAGGCCTATAAGCCCAGCTACTTGAGGCTGAAGCAGGAAGCTTACAGGGTCAAGGCTTACCTGGGCTATATAGCAAGTTTAAAGTTATGCTATACTTTAACTTATTAGGTGAAATAGGGTCTTGTGCTGGGTGGTGATGGCACATGCTTTTAATCCCAGCACTTGGGCGGCAGAGACAAGCTGATCTCTGAGTTCGAGGTCAGCTTGGTCTACATAGTGAGTTAGTTACAGGATGGCCAAGGTTACACAGAGAAATCCTGTTTCGAAAAAAACCAAAGAAATAAGGTCTTATATACTGTCACTAATGAAACTGGCCTTGAACTCTAGGTGAGGCAATCCTCCTGCATCAGCTACTCAAGTAACTGAGGCTACAGACGTGTGCCACTACATTACATTCAATAACTATATTCTAAAAATAAAATTGACCAAAAAAACTAAAGAAACAGCAATTATTATTATTATTATTATTATTATTATTATTATTATTATTATTATTATTATTGTAGAAGGTCTTACTAAGTAGCCCTGGCTAGCCTGGAGCTCACTATGGAGACCAGGCTGGCTTTAAACTCAGAGATCCTTCTGCCTCTGCCAATCAGATACTGAGACTAATAGGTGTGTGCCACCATGCCTAGCCGAAACTGCAATCTTTTATTAGTAGTAACTGGACAGGGATAGAGGTGATTTTAAATATTCTTATTTTGTGTTTATTATATTGCCCATTTTGGGGGCAGTCAATATACAGGACTTTCATTAAGGAAAAAAAGGTTAAAAATTATAAACCTTTACATCTTTCACTAAATCAACAAGAACTAAACTAATAAACAAGCACCTAAAAACAGCAAACACATCTTTAAAACATTTTAGAAAATGCAATGATCAAGAATTAAACTAGGGAGCTGGTGGTAGGGGTGCTTGCTTTTTATCTCAGCACTCAGGAGGCAGAGGCAGGTCAATCTTTGAGAGTTCCAGGACAGCCCGGTCTACACAGAGAGTTTCAAGATATCAGGGCCACAAAGAAACAAAACAAACAAACAAACAATTAGGCTGAAAAGATGAAAAGAACGGCTCAGCAGCTGAGAGCACTGGCTGCTCTTCCAGACAACCTGGGTTTTCTTCCTAGCACCTCCTGGCATGTAACTAGCATGTAACTCTAGCCCCAGGATATCCGCCATCCTCTTCTGGCCTCAACAGGCACCAGGTATGCATGCTGTGCACAGACATACAGGTGGGCAAATACCCATGCACACGACAGAAAAGTAAATAAATCCTAAAAAAAATTAAGTTAGGTAAGAACACAGCCAAAATCTGATGCCAAATGCTGTTTTTTTTTTTTTTTTTTTATGATTAATATGTTTTTGGAGAGTAATTAAAACCTTTCTTTACTGATTAAAACTTTGATTTACAAGTCATAAAATATAATCACTTTACTAAGTGATTTCTGAAGTATAAAAGATAGTCATTTATATTCATTAAAAATAGTTCACTCTGGGGCTGGAGAGATGGCTCAGCGATTAAGAGCATTGTCTGCTCTTCCAAAGATCATGAGTTCAATTCCCGGCGACCACGTGGTGGTTCACAACCATCTACAATGTGAACTGATTCCCCCTTCTGGCAGATATAAATGCAGATAGAACACTTACATACATAAAATAAATAAATCTTAAAAAAAGATTTCTTAAAAAAAATACTTCACTCTGGGATGTGACTTATTTTCCAGTAAAGTACAGGCCTCTAACTTTTTATTCTAGGGTCTCAAGATTCTAACAGTCGAAACGAAACATTTAGATGACCAGACTACAATGTTCAAAACTATCCACTATGGACAGACTTACAACTGTGATAATTTTCAAGTAAACTCAGATTGCAACTCGTTATTTTTCAAAAGTATACTTACATATTTATAATAAACACCCATGATAACCCAGTGCATTTGAAAGCTGACAAACCAGAACAGCCTTTATCAGGATACAGAGTGAAATAAAGTGTTTCTCCATTAAAAAGGTGAAGCATTACCTAGATCTTGCCTTGGCAAGCAAAACTGCCCTGTTAAGTTCTGTGGTTCACATGACTTCTCCAATTCAACAGCCTGAAGGAGCTCCTCTTGAGATGGGCAGTTTCTGCTCTGAAGACCCCCAGAGCGGCTGTGTGCAGGGCACCTGCTGCCTGTCAATGGAGATTTAAAAGGGGAAGGCCTGGAAAGATGGATGAAAGAAGGAAACCATCACCACCAATTCAGAAAGGCCTAATCATAACTCCTCGGCAGCCAAAGCATGAGTGAAACATCTCTCTGTCACAGAAATAAGGAATGATCAGCAAAAAAGAGCCCACGCGACAGCCTAGGAGCCTGGATTCATGCTGCCTGCCAACATGCCACTGCTGACGTACGATATCTCCCCTTCAGGGCTGGTCTGAGGCAGTATATCTCAGAGCTGTTTAGAAGCATGTCAGCAATTTTTTCTTTTGCCAAATATCCACTGTGGCTAATTCAGATTCTATACACTATTCTACTTGAGTCCAAATGCATGTGAGGCCTCTTATGAAGATAGAGAACTGGGTAATGCTGACATCTTCACATTTTATTTCTACTCAATTTTGGAAGAATTTATAATATCCCCTTTATTTCCTGCCTTTTAATGTCCGAAGTCATTCTAAAAACAAGATGCTGGGCTGCAGACATGGCTCAGCAGTTAACCACACTTTTCTTCTTGCAGAGGACCTAGGTTCAAGTCCTAGCACACACATGATGTGCATAGCTCCAGCTCCAAGGTGCACAACAGACATACCTTTGAGCAAAATACTCACACATGCAAAATAAAATAAAATAAAAGCCAGGAGTAGTAGCACATAAATGAAAGTCAGTCTCCTGAGGTAGAGGCTGAAGGTCACCCTTAACTACAAAGTAAGTTCAAAGCCAGCCTGGACTACCTGAGACCCTGTCTTGAAATACATACACAAAAAAATACAATTAAAAACAACAACAACAACAACAAAAAGGTCAACTATCAGGGGCAGGCACATACCTCAGTGGTAAAGCAGTTTGCCTAGCACACCTGAAGGCCTGTATTTGATTCCCCAACACACACCCTAAAAAAGTCAACCATTACACCTTAATAATTTATATGTCTAATGAGTAGTTCCTCTAGTGTTTTGAGTGGTTATGACTTACTATGCCAATGAGATACTTACCACAAAACATCACTTTAGTACCCAAAAAAGGAGACTCCCCCCACCTTTTGGAGGGGGTTACAATCTCAATGCCAGCTTAAAAATAAGTTCTAGGTTAAGTTCAAGGCCAGGGAAGGATGGCATTGTTAGAGTATTGACAACCTGTCCGCATTCCCCAAAAGGATATATATACATACTAGGGATTCAGGAAAACAAGAGCTCCTTTGTTTCTTAGAGTCCTAAGATGTTTGTCCTGATAGGTATAAGTATCTCTGAAAATAAAAGCAGGCTTTGGTGGTACTTTTCTCTAATCCCCAAATTCAGAAGACTGATTTGACAGTCTCATTATTTTTTTTCTGTATAGTTTTTATCAAGTGATTTAAATATATATCCTGAAACAATATTTTTAATATTTCCCAGAGTAAATGAACAGACTTCTAGGAAGGCAAACATTTCAATTAGGGCAAGGCCTGCCTGGAGCCGTCTGTCATCAGCTCCTAAGCGTGTTTTAGTTTTAGTTAATTCTATTGTATTCTCACCTTTAAAAGAAAGGCCAAGGGGCTGGAGAGATGGCTCAGTGGTTAATAGCACTGTCTGCTCTTCCTAAAGGGCCCGGGTTCAATTCCCAGCACCCACATGGCAGCTCACAACTGTCTGTAACTCTAATTCTAAGGGATTTGAAACCCTCACACCAATGCACATAAAAAAATAATAATTATTAAAAAAAAGAAAAAGAAAAAGAAAAGAAAGAAAGAAAGGCCAAGTGCTTATTTCTTAGGTTGTGGTTTTGTTGTTTAAGCCTTGTACACACCCAAAAAGGCTGTATCCAAATAAACAGAGGAATGTAACCTATGATCACTAAGTGTCTGTAATTGTGTACACCCAGTATTCTGAAGGCTGAAGGAGCATTATTGCAAGTTTGATGCCAACCTGGTGAGTTCCAACAAAGTGAGTTTCAGACCATCGAGAATGACCTTGTCTCAAAAACACCCCCAAACAAAGCAAGGAAAAGAAAACAGGAATTGACGCTGAGTAGCCACCTTGATTTTTCTCTACCTTATTTTGGAGACAGGGTCTCTTCTGAGAAAACCAGTTTCGATAAACTAGCTGGCCAACAACACTAAAGAGCTTCCTGTCTTTGTGTCCCCGAGCTGCCGTTTTAGGTTTGTTTGCTGCTCCTGGCATTTTTTATATGAGCGAGGTGCACGTGCATGCATGTGTGTGGGTGTGCTTGCCTGGGTGGGTGAGCGTGGAGGCTGGAGTCTACCGCTATAGCTCTGTACCCATCTCTCACTGCACCCAGGATCTGCCTATCTCCGTCCCTGGCCCAGGAACCCTAGCACAGGGTTATAGGTGTGCAGCTTCTAATAACTTTTAGGTGGGCTTTAGTGACTGAACTCAGTTCCTCATGTTTGCATTGAAATCACATGATTGAGTCATGGCCCTAGCTCAGAGATTTTTTTGTTTTCTTTTTGATTTTTCAGGACAGGGTTTCTCTGTGACACCCTGGCTGTCCTTGAACTCAGAGATCCCACCTGCAAACCAAGTGCTAAGATTAAAGGCACACGCTACCACTCCTGGCTTGATGGAAACAAAGTTAAGAGCAGGTCAGTGCAAGCAAAGATGTCACCTGGATGCCACAGACTGACGTCTCTTACCTTCCCACTTCTGATTCTTCTTCTGTACTGGTGGAACCGCCGGGATGTTGTGGCTGGAACTTGTCAGCAGAAGGGCTCTTTGGATTGTGGCTTACAGGGTTCTCATTAATGTTCTCTGAAGTTAAAATTGCTTTTAATAGAATGAGAAAAATCTATTTTACTTATTTGTTCTGATGGTCTTAATTCAGGTGAGGATATTGATTTTTTTTAAAAGCAGTAATCTAGGACAGTCAAACTGATTCTTTTTTCTTTTGTGTGTGACAGGACCCTCGTGATTCTCTAGCCTCCATCTTTTCAGCATAATTTACCAGTGTGGGCCAGCATGAAAGTCAGTGACAGGACTGCAAGGATGACAACTGAACAACTGATCTTTCTGCCTTTACCCCTCAAGTGCAGGGTCCCAGCTGTGTGCCTTCACACCTGACTGTATGTAGCAGTTGTGGGGCTCTGCTGGATAAGGCTGAAGTCTGACATCTCTGGATAGCCATTTATTTGCACTCTGTCTATGATGACAGACTCCCTTTTCTCAGCAAGGTTCTAAAAGTCTCCCCTGATCTGGGTGACCCCACATTTTGTAAGGAGAGTCATATAGCCTTCAGGGAAGATTACAGAACAGACCCTTTCCTGATAAGGAAACCACTCTAGCAAACATCTGGGAATTCTTAGAAATGCTCCACCCTGCTAAGGATCCTAGTCCCCAGCAGTGACTTCCAACTGAACTTGGAGATTTCCCCCTCACCTATAGGATAATTACGTACTGTATTTTCCTTCTTGTGAAAGGACCAAGCTACTGCATGGAAAATGAGACAGCACATGTAAATCAAGTATCCTTGAACCACTGACCCCAGGGAATCAAACAGACTCATCCTTGAAATCCCTCCCACTGCTCTAAGGTTTATAAATCCCTGATTTCAGATAAACATGCTGCAAGCTCACCAGGCATGGGTTTTCACCACACTTCCGCACCTCTGCAGTGCTGAGCACAACAGCTTAACCAAGAACTGTAACATTTGCTATAGCCATAGGCTTTGGAAAGCCCCAGCTTCCACTGCCACTGGCAATCTCATTCTAAAAGGGCTGAATTGTAACACTATGTGGAAAACTTTGACACCCCAGCCTAGCACATGGGCCTTGGGGTAGGCCTCGCCCTAAAATGCTCAAGCTGTCCCTGAGAGAAACAGAGCCCCCATTCTTTGTCCGGAAGCCAGCTCCAGGACCCTAGTGGATCTCTGAGTTAAGGTTAGCCTGGTCTACAGCTACAGTGTGAGTTCCAGGATAGCCAGGGCTACACAGAGAAACCTCGTCTGGAAAATCCGAAAAAAAAAAAAAAAAAAAAAAAAAAAAAAAAAAAAAAAAAAAAAAAAGAAAAACAGAACAGAATGGTTTTTTTTGTTTTGTTTTATTTTTTTTTACTAGTTTTATTTTTTCAGAACAGGAATGTTAAGACTTTATAAATAGTTATTCAGTTACCACAGGCTGAAAACAAACTAGCTTTGAGTCTTTCTTTTTTGGCCCTGCGTGATAAGAAAACAAGAATATATAATGTATTCTTATCTCTGAAGCAAACTGAACTGTGCACAAATCTCTAGTGCCAACAAGAAAGCCAAAGTATTGAAATCACAAAACACACCAAACACAACACAGGACCCGGCTGGAGCATTAATGTGTTTGTGTGTGCACAAGTGAGTATAGGCTGTGTGTGTGTGTGTGTGTGTGTGTGTGTGTGTGTGTGTGTCTGTGTGTGTGTGTGTGTGTCTGTGTGTAGGCCGTAGGAGGAGAGTCAGCTAAAATGACATTTGCCTCACACTTTCAATCACTATGAAACACACACACCTCTACCTCACGGTACTGGTTGATAAGGAATCTTGAGAAATATAAGGAACAAATAAAGAAAGGCACAGAAATAGGAAAATCATAACAGACCCAAGGTAAGGCTCTGGCACATGCTACTGTGCAAAGTAGAAAAAATATTCAAACATCAAAAACAATTAATTGAAAATTAAATATCTTCTATCCATTTAAAACCACTAAAATCTAGGAATGAGAGTGTATACCTTTAATCCTAGCACTTGCTATAAAGACAGAGGGGCATTTCCAGGCTAGCCAAGGCTACATAGTGAGACCCTATCTCAAAAACAAACAAAGCCCCAGGGCAGTGTTTAACACCAGAACTTGGGAGAGACAGGGAGGGTCTCAGTGAGGTCACCCCAGTTTCCACAGGGAGTCCTAGGACAGCCTACAGCACCTGTCCAAAAAAAAGACAACCCTTTCCCCCGAAAAAGACAGTGGAACCAACTGTGAGCCCCCTACTCAGGAGAATATTGAAATGTCAGAAACAGTTCAAAAGCGGAGACTCAGGGGTTAAGAGTACTTGTTGCAGTGGGACCCAGTGCTGCCCACATTGCTGTGCTCAGGGAGGCAGAGGCAGGCGGATCTGTGTGAGTTCGAGGCAGCCTGATCTACAAAGTGAGTCCAGGACAGCCAAGGCTACACAGAGAAACCCTGTCTTGAACCTCCTCCACTCTCACAAAACAAACAAACAAACAAACAAACACCCACAAAACTTGTTGCTCTTGCTGGGGACTTGGGTTTGGCTTCTAGAACGCACATGGTGTTCATGTAATATCTTACAGCCACCTGTAACCCTGAAGCCCTGAATTTGGATCCTAGCACCTGTTATAAGTTAGGTGTGGCTCAGGTGCACCTGTAACCCCAATGCTGGGGGTAAGGGTGAGAGGTGGGGAGACAGGATTGCTAGGACTTCCTGGCTGCCAGTCTAGCCATGCAGAATGCAAACTCCAGATTTAGGGAAAGACTACCTCAGAGAAGTAAGTTGGAAAGTAGGACATGTCATGTGTGCACGCTTGAACACACACATGCACATACACTACATACATACACAGCACATTCACCAAAAAAGAATTATGATTAATTAACACTAAGATAACATCAGGAAGAAAATGAACCATGCCAGGAGCCTCTGGAAATCCTCCATATGTGACTGTGCCCTTTCTTTAAACCTTAACACTAGCACTTAAGTCTATATCAAAAAATATCTTTTTGTTTGTTTGTTTTTTGAGACAGGGTCTCTCTATGTACTCCTGTCCCAGAGCTCGCTATGTAGACTAGGGGGCCTTAAACTCATAGAGATCCTCCTGCATCTGCTTCTCTGAGTGCTGGGATTAAAAGTGTGTGCTACCAGGCTCTTCTAAAAATATCTTTAAAAGGTAAAGGAGATTGGGTTTCTCCTAATGCATCAGCCTAAGGAGAGAAAGGCTCAAAACTGGAGTTGGTATTGTCAGTCAAGTATTTTAGAAATGAGCCACAAAGAAACATTTTTATTCTTTTCACAAAGAAACATTTTATCTACAGATATTCAGTTGGGGGGAAAAAAACCTAGCATGTATGCCAAATGTGAGGTAGTAGGTTTAGGCAGCTATTCGAAGCTAGACAGTAACAATTCTTATCTTGTGCATTAGCAATGAAAGTCCCATCTATTTTCACAATAACAGTGACAGTACCCCAAAGATAACTGTACTGGGGATGGGACTGTTTCATTATCTGGTGATAAACTAAATGAAGATGCAGTAACAAAGAAAGTATTTAAGGGAACAGACTCATTTTGAATCAGTGCCATAGCAACAGAGTTCCCAGCTTCCCTTGCACGAGCTACTGTTTCTTTCAGAATATAAAAATATTACAAGGCACATGTGGAGACCAAGGCCACTATACTGAATAATGAACAGTGTTGAGGCTCTAAGAGTCAAAGGAAGGCCTCAGGGCCCCAGAGGACTGTGGAGGAGATGCTGAAGGAGTAACCTGAGCACCAAGACTGGTGGGACTACTGCGACCAGAAAGAAACTCTGAGAGGGGCTCACCACCTTGGTCTGTGCCCAAGCACCAACTCCTCCTGTATGTGGCCTGCCAGACACAAGGCTTCTCTAATGAAAACTCTTACTCCTGATCCCTGTGCCTCGACCCCGCAAGTGCACACATGACCACCAAACCCCACTTTCCAAATGAAAACGTAAGGAACAGCTCCTGAAATAAAAGGTCTCTTCCTACAAATCAGAAAACACCGAAACAGGTCTTTGCTTTGTGATCTATCACTATAAGGAGTACATCTGAGTGGTTTTTATTTTCTCATGGCTTTCTGGAATTAAGGGGTCACTTACCAACAATCTCCCCAACAACTAAGAGCAAGAACTATTTCTATTTGCTGTGGGGTCTCCATAGGCCCCCTAGAAGGACATGAACGAATGATTATCTTGGGTCCCTCTGAAGGGTACTTCACTTGTAAGCAGGGACTAGAAATAAGGTTCCCAAATTACTCAGGGAACAACTTAGTAAACACGGAGTAAGCAAAGATCACTCAGTCCTCACTTCTTGAAAGAAACAGAGGTTAAAGAGGGCAGAATTTTGCTTATGATACTGGCATTTGTTCAGTATTACAGACCTGTGTAGAGGGATTTTAATCCAGCAACATGGCTACATTCATCCCAAACAATGAAGTTTAGTAAAGTTAAGTAGTAGAAAGAAACAGCCATGTTTGAAAGTGATATCTAAATGAGGCAGACAAAGTAATGAATTAGAGAAAGATTTGACAGAATAGGATATGCCCACATGAGAATAGAGAGGTGACTTAAAAGGAAAGAGAGAAAGACAGATAGACACAAAGAGACAGAGAGAGAGAAGGCAGTTTTACAGAGACAGGCTATAGAGAGAACAAGCTAGACACAGGTCAAGACAGATGACCCAAAGAATGAGAAGGAGCCAGAAGATTAGAACAGATTGCTAGAGTTAGTCTCAAGCCAAGCAGACTAAAAAGTTAGAAGCCGAGAGAATCAGTCAGTTTAGAGAGGAGCTTGAGCCAGAACAGCTGAGTTGAGCCAGCTAGCCAGCAGGAGTTCAGAAAGGGCTAGAAAGGGCGAGCTTTGAGCTCATTCAGCAGTAAGTCTCAGAGGCTGAAAACACTCTAAGCCTAGGCTAACAGACGGAGGCTGGAAGCTTCTGAGATGACACCGGACAGGTGAATAAAAGGTATTTACAGACCTGTTCCTGATATGTTTTCTTCTGGATTTGGTAGGTCTTCTGGGGAATGAGGGTCAGCTATGAGGGAAGGGGAGTGGACAGAAGGCTGGTTCCCATGCTGCTCCAGCACAGCTTCCAGGTGAGCCATTTCCTGCTGGAGCTTTATCAGGTTATCTTTCATGGTAGCCTTCTGCTGTAAAACCAAAAGAGAACACCAAAAAATGTCACACACTTTTGAGGGACGTGTCATAAAGTAAAAATGTCACACCAACTAATTTCAGCAAGAGAACCAAAATCACCTAGTATGGATTTATGAGTTCTGGTTGAATATCTTTTAATCCAACCATGTGGTTGGATCCAGCTCATGTGGTTAATGACCTTGAAATTATCTCAGAATGATGTTGAGAGAGAGAGCATTTTCCAATTCTCCCAAATAGACTTGCTTCATTGTAGCTCATTATTTTCTTTTAAAAATAAAGAGGTTGCGGAAGGGCGACGGTCAAGGACACAGGATGGGACAGGGGACACAATGATGGATACAATAACAGTATCTTAGGCTTAAAATTTGCAGGAATCTGTTAATATCTTACATAAACCATGTTTCAAAGATTCGGTACTGTGAAATAAGAATTTAATTAGTTTGCAAAAAAAAAAAGTATGCTTAAATTAGGTTATGGATGTTTTGTCTACATATGTATGACTAATGCTCTCAGAGGCCACAAGAGAGCATTAGATCCACCAGAACAGGAGTTGTGAGCCATCATGTGGGTGCTGGGAACTGAACTCAGGTCCTCTGTAGCAGCAGCAAGTACTGCTAACCACTGAACCATCTCTCTAGCTCCTGATATAATTTTATTTTTAAAGTATCTGTAAGCTAAGAGTAGAGATGTGCTCAGCACAAAGTATAGTTTTTTTAGATTTATTTATTTACTATGTCTACAGTATTCTGCCTGCATGTATACTTGCACACCAGAAGAGAGCACCAGATCTCATTGTAGTTGTGAGCCACCATGTGGGTGCTGGGAATTGAACTCAGGACCTCTGGAAGAACAGCCAGTGCTCTTAACCTCTGAGCCATCTCTCCAGCCCCCACTATATTTAGTTTTTAAATGGATGAAGTATTGAATAATTTCCTATAACACTCTAGAAGGCCTGTAACAGTTACTGTTTTCAATTCAAGAGAATGAAATCTTCTTGAACATGAATTCCTACTGTTTACTGTTCCACTTCAGTAAGTTACCTAGCTAGGCAGTGGTAGTGCCTACCTTTTACCCTAGCACTGGGAAGGCAGAGGTAAGTGGATCTCTATTAGTTCAAGACCAGCCTGGTCTAAAAATTGAGTTCCAGGATGGCCATGGCTACACAGAGAAACCCTGACTTGAAAAACCAAAAAGAAGTTGTCTAAACTGGGCATAGTAGTATACTCCATTAATCCCCAGCAACTGAGTTGAGGCCTATCTGGCCTACATAGTGAGTTCCAGACTAGCCACGGCTACACAGTGAGACCCTGGCACAAACAAACAATCCCATCAAGCTAAAATATTTGACAAGCAAAGAATGTAGGTATATAAAGAACTTCCCAAAATATATGTCTCTTCACCACTTTCAGTAGGAATGTTGTTTGATTTTTAGTGGGGGAGGAGAAAAATCAGTTTCATCTTCTCTTTCTTCTGACCTTTGAAAATGACTTTGCTCTCCACTAAAAACAAGCCATTTAATTTATAGTTCTTAAGAGACTTTCATGACCAAAAAAATGTATTTTCAGCTTTACTCTGAGACTGTATAGCTGTCATAGGGAAGCCAATGCCACCACGTGGTACCCGTGAGTACTGACATCACTGATCAAACCCTAGCCAAGGTCCTACATCAGATTATCAGACCAATGCTGAATTAGTCCACCCTCAAACTTCTAAGCAGCCATTAAACACACCAGAAAATCAGAAAGAAAAAAAAAAAAAAAAAAAAAAAAAAGTAATTGGAGTACTGGTGTGGGGACTTTCTTTTGTGTTTTCCTATAGAAAGGGATGCATACCTTAGGCAAATTCTACTATAGGTAATTGCTCAAATGTATCAGGGAGGGTAAAGCCATGCTTGTTACCAAGCCTGCTGGATCCTAATTCTGAAAATATCTCTCTTATTCTTCAGTTCTAGTCCCACAATGCTACTCTCTCACTTTAATATAGCTGCAATACTTCCAAAGTTCTCTAAAAGCCATGTTTATCAAGACTCCTTTTCCCAGTAGGCCTTAAGTAGCATAACATGACTCAGGTAATAAGTTAGTATTTTAGAACACTGCCCTTAGGACAAAGCCCAAATTCCTAAAGACACCATTCAAAAGTCCATGCACACCTAGGTCTTGTCTGTTATTTATCCCCAGCATTTCCCACAGGCCACGTATTGTAGAGACACTGGACTAGTCAGTGATCCCCAGGCACTCAATGCACCCGTGTCTTTGCCTCCGTTGCTGCCTCCCCTCTTTTCCCATTTGGTAAACAATTCTCATCTGTCAAAGCCTACCTCAAGTCTCCTTGGGATGTCCCGGCCAATAACTGTCTATCAGAACAGTGCACCTCATTCCTTGCCTCTGGCTGCCAATGTATCAGTATACTCAGGGCACACACAATTTCCTTGATGTGAGAAGTCTTCCCTTGCTTACTTTATTTTGTTTCTAAGACAGGTCTATGTAAACCCAGGCTAGCTTCAAACTTGATTCTCCTACCTAAGGTTCTCTCATGCTGGGAATGCTCAGGTCTACAAGGTGTGCAACACCAAGCCTGACCCTAACTGCCTATCAGAGAGTAAGTTCTCTGCAAACATTTAATGCAGAAATGAATGAATGACTGAATGACATCTTTAGGTTAAAAAAATAGGGGAGAGGTAGGAGGGCTGGCAAGATGGTTCAGTGGGTAAAGGTACTTGCCACCAAGCCTAAGGACTTGAATTTGATCCCTGGGACCTATATGAGGAGGAGACAACCTTGCATCGTCACCTGTCTGCTGGGGAATACACACGTGTGCACACACATACCCGCTCACCCCAGGAGCATCAAAAAGGTATACTAATGATATCAAATGCAGCATTCTGTATCATCTATTACTCCTCAGTTTTATGTGAACAGAGGGGAAAGATTCCATTTCAATCATTTTGCTTATCTGTGCTAGTCAGATAAAAGTCACCTGTTTTAAATAGATACTTGATACAAAACAATTTAAAAAAATGAATCCTGAACAAATAATGAACATATTTCTGGCAATAAGATCAGAGATACAAGAAACAATGAAGTAGTTTCTTGAATGTCAAATATAATGCAGTATGGCTAAGACAGATGGAATAAAAAGCTAGAACTTAAAAAACAAACAGCCAAGGGACAGAATTAGGTGACAGACATATTGACACAGCCCCAAATCTAAACCCAGAAAGGACCAGAGGAATGGAACACAGGTCTTTTTAATCAACTTGATCATCATGACAATCTTGCAAAAATAGAGAATTTGAGTGATAAATAAGATGCAGAATGGACCGTTGTCTCAATGTTTCCTCTCAATTTCCACAGGCTTCAGGCCTAGCATTTACTCTGAACAGAACATGGTCAGTAGGAGGCAAGTCCTTTCTATTTGTCAGCCTCACAGCAATGCCAGCCAGGAGTTAGAAGACTTAAATACCGGACACCACCTAGTGTTGGCAAAGAAACAGCAAAGTGGAAACTCCAAATACCGCAGAAGGTAGAAGCAGAGTGGCTTACTCCTTCTAAAGAACAGCGTAATGCTATGTATGTATCATACATCAAAACCATCAGAGATAGGGGTAAATATCCAGCAAGCAGGATGTCTACTAGAGTGGTGTGTCTATAAAACCTTAGGCAGCAAAGGAACAAATAATAGAAATCAAACAATTGAAAGCTACTCAGTAACTGAAAAAAGCCAGACATGGGCTAAAAAGATGGCTCAGCAGTTAAGAGCACTGGCTGTTCTTCCAAAGGACCTGGGTTCAATTCCCAACACCCACATGGCAGCTCACAACTGTCTGTAACTCCAGTTCCAAGGGATCTGACAGCTTCACATACACAAGCAGGCAGAATACCAATGCACATGAAATTTAAAAATAAATAGATCATCTTTAAAAAAAGCCAGACATGCTGGTGAGTTCGCATAACTCCAACATTCAAGACGCATAGACAGGAGGATCTCAAGGCTATAACAAAGTGAGACATCGTCTCAACAAATGGCCCTTTTCCAATGAGTCACTGAGATTAGGGAAGTAGCTCCATGGAACAGTGCTAGCCTAGCATAACAATTCCCAGTACAATTAATAAATAAGATTAAAAAGTCACTGACAAATTTTAATGACACAAAAAAGGGTAAATCACAATATAAGTATTTAGAATGTTACCTGAACAGTTTTTTGTTTTATTTTGTTTTTTTGAAACAGGGTCTCACACTGTAGCACTGGCTGGCCTGGTACTCAAAACATAAAGCAGCCTGGCTTAGAACTCATAGAGATCCACCTGCCTCTTGCCTCAGAAGTGCTGGGACTAATAGGTGTGCGCTGCCATGCCTGGCTCCTCTTCTGAGTTTTTGATGACAACAAACATGATGTTAAGAATACTAAGAACTACCAATTTAATTTAATTGGGTACTTTCTAGGAAGAGAAGAAAAACTACTCACAGGCTAACAGCTACAAGTGCATTCATACTTTGGAGAGAAACAAAAGCCACAACAGGATGATTCAAAAGGTTCCAAACAACTCCACTGGACCAGCGAGTTAGCTCAGAGCATACAAGCTCTTGCCACCACAGATGAGGACCTGATTTGATCTCCAGAAACAACACCCATAAGGTGTCACCTGACTTCCACATTTACCTTGGTGGCACACACCCCCACATAATACAAATAAATAAATGTTTAAAAAGAGAGAGAGAGAAACTGCCCATAATTCAGAGAAGAGAATGAGCCAATCAACTAAGATCACACAGTCAGACACAGAGAGCTCTAACCAACACTCTGCCAGAGCTGCTGCCTATTCTGCAGGGACCCTTAGAAGAAGACAGAGGGAACCCTCAGAAGTTACCCAGCTAGTGAGAGATAAATACAGGAAAGAAAGATCTAAATGAATATAAGGTTTGTAACACAAGTTTGGGATATTTTGGTGTTACTTTTACAAAATAAAAGTTAGGTGACAGAGCCAGGTTCTGGCTGTGAGAAAGATAATGTTTTCCCTAAGAGACTTCTCCTGCCATGGTGCAGAAGCACTCATACAATAGAGAGCTGTAGAGGTAATAAAACTGTTATTCTATTCAAAAGCAGCCAGTTACCTGTCTCCATTTCTAAGTTCAGGAATGAATATCAGGTAAGTTTCTCTCTAACAAGAAAGAGTTAACTTATAGTTCCTAACAAGCAACTAGGTTAAAAGACAAAAATAAAAAAAGAAATATCCATAACACAATGAAAGTGAGATGGCCTCTATTGCAAAGACAGCTCTGTAGGCTTCAGTTTGGTTCTGAGAATAAATACAACCCTTTTGATACAATACTGCATTCATATAATCTTACTATGGGGTTAATAGGTTTTAAAGTTCTGGCTACTCTATAGTGTTCAGCGTTCTACAATGAGCAAAATGGTGGATATACATACATAAAAAAAACTATTAAACCATGGTGAGTTCCACTAAGTGCTTAAAAAATAACTCGCTCGAGATACAAAATTAGTAGCCATAAGAATGTAGGATTTTTACCTGAGTGGTTAAAATGTCACTCTGTGAGCAGTCTTCAGAAAGGTTTGTTTCACTCTCATATCCAGATGCCACTTCACCTTAAACAATCAAACCAGAGGCCCGGATGTAAAGGCAGATCATGAACTCTGCAGCCTGCAGTGTCTGTTCCCTCCCTTTCACAGCACTTGCTTCACTGTCGTAGCAAATAAATGACTGAATTTGGGACACTGGATTTTTTTTTTCAGAACTCACATAGTAAGCTGGGGGTAGTGGTGGCTGCATACAATCCCAGATTTTGGGAAGCAGATCTCTGTTCTAGGCTAGCCAGAGCTACAGAGAGAAACCTTGCCTTAAAAAAAAAAAAAAAAAAAAAATCTGCAATAAAAACTAGAAGCAAGTCTACTGACAATCAGGTCATTCAAGTTCATTCTATCAGACATTCTTGTTGCATACAGCCATTAAAATATTTATTTTTATTATTTTTAACTATGCGCATGTCTGTATGCGCTATTATATATGAACGTGGCAGGCACCCGTGGAAGCCAAAGCATTAGATTGTCTTGCAGCTAGAGTTACAAGGGCTTATAAGTGCTTATGAGTCACTTGACACAGGTTTTGGCAACTAAACTTAGGTTAATTGCAAGCGAATACCTCCTTAAAAAAAAATGTGCACTGGTGTTTTGCCTGCATACATGTCTGTGTGAGGGTACTGGATTCCCTAGAACTGAAGTGAGCTGTCATGTAATTGAATCTGGGTTCTCTAGAAGAACAGCCAGTGCTCTTCATAGCTGAGCCATCTCACCAGCCTCCCTGAGTGTCTCTTAACCACCATCTCTCCATCCCCAGGAAGGACTTCTAAGGAAAAGAGTTTAAGTATTAGTTAATATAATTGTTGTACTTAGAAATCCATTTACTCCCCAAAAGATGCAAATATTCAGCTCACTTCTGTAGACTGTGCAAACAAACAAAAGAAACTACCTGAATCTGGGACTATACTGTCCTCTTCTTGATCATCATCTTCTAGGCAAGTTCCCATTTCATCATCTGAAACCAATTCCTTGTCACTTAGAAAATCATCCTCGTTCTCAGACTGCTGACTCGTTTGTTTGGAAGGATTAAGCAAGGGATCCTGGGAGTCTGCATTCGCAGTTGAGCCTTGGACAGCACTGTACTGTGAAGAGAACATGCTGCCAGAGTATTTTGGGTCCTCACTAAAGTGATGCTCCTGAGATGCCTCGACCAAGATCACCTCATTATTGCAGTCACTGACGCTATCCTTCCATGGCGCTAGGGCCCCCTCTGCTTTCTCTGACCGAGCTTGTGTCACGACACTGCTGACTCTGCTAAGTAAGTGCTGGAGGCAGGGAAGATCTTCATCCTCACTAGATTCACTCCCTTCTGAGGATTCTAATTTCCTAGATCCTCTATGAAAACGCCGAGCCAGCGATGCATGGGTTAAAGGGCTAGGGCTCCTATTGAACTCTCTTCTCTGAACACTTCCATTAAAAACAGCAGACTTCTCCATTACATCACCTTCACCGAAGCTAGTATTTTCCTGTATTTCAACATCATCCAACAGGTCATCAGGTGTCTCAGAACAAACCTGAAAAATATTATCACTTCTCATAGATTGTTCAAGATGATCTGAGAATAGACATGGAGAGAAGTCTGTACCAACAGTCTTGCCCTCCTGCTTCTTCATTTCAAGATATTTATTATAATCACTTTGCTTACAGACTTCAGGCTGCAAAAGATCCAATGGAAGCAGGGTGTTTACTTTAGACCCTCTGTTTCTATCTAGTTGTCCTTGGAAGTTTTCACCGCTGGAACATACTTCATTAATGCTGCCTGAGCTGGCTTCCTGACAAGCATTTCCTCCATTATTTTGGCTAATTGTATGTACTGAACTTTGAACAACGGTCTCATTTCCCACTGCCTTTTTAGCTGACAATGTACGCTTCTCAAGTCGTTCCTCTGACAGAGTTTTTCTACGGTCAGTTTTTATAGATGACCTCATGGGAGAAACTGATTGTTTAAGATATGAGTTTTGTGGAACTCCAGGTTTACCTGAGGTGCTGCCTTCACTTTCATTGCTTCTGCACTGAGATGATGGACAGAGCCCAGGCACTCCAGCACACAGTGTGTTGGCACCTGGCTTACCTTGCTGACGAAGCACAGGCAAGTCCACTGTGGCAGTAACTGCCTGTATATTACTGATTTCAGACTCTTCATGTACCTGATTTTCTTTACCTTCAGAAGTCACACTTGGTCTCAGCTCCCTTAAGGAGTTGAGTAGAGAGTGAGTAGAGACTGTTGCACACTCATTTAGGGGACTTCTTGGTTTTGAAAATAAAGCAAATGACTGACGCTTTGAAACTTGAAAGGTATTCTGCAAATATTGAGTATCAAGTTCACTCCCTTCCATTTCTACTGTCTCTGGAATGTGGTTAAGTTCGTGTCTCGATGGATGCTTAAAGCATTCTGTGGCACTTTCAGCATCTTTAGAACCACGGACAAGTTCCTTGGTGTTTTCACTTGCTACAAACTGAGTCAAACACTGAATTGACCCTGTTTTTGCAGATCTGACAGTGTTAGCATCCAGTACTGAGACACTGTTCTGAGTGTCATAATCAGTGTCAAGTACCAGTGAAACACTGGTACTCTCCTCAGATCTTTCAGTGGACAAACACTGTTCTCCGCCCAGCACAAGATCCTTGAGTTCCTTGGTGTTATCAGGCATTTTGCTTGTTTCAAGTTTCTCTATTTCTTTTCCCCGAGGGCAAGGCTTGACAGGCCCTTCAGGGTCACTTGGACCATCTGTGCTTGTTAATTTTTCTTCTGGGAAAGCATCACTGGCAGTTCTCTTTCTTACTTGTTCACTCAGCTCCTTCTTGGCTTCAGGTGCTGGTTCTGGGTCTGCTGTGAGTGGAGGCTTTCTAATGTGCCTGACGGGTGCTTGGTCGGAATTGTTTTTCTTTGTTTCTTCACTGCTACTAAAACTATCGATTTGAAGTTCAGCATGAGTAGGTGAGCTTGGATTCCTACTGACTGGTTCAACTGCAGGAATGCATACGGTAGAAGCCTTCCTCCTCAGCCTATTTTTCTTAGATGCATTTGAATTATAGACACTTAATTCTATCTCCAAATCACTTATACTGTTGCTTATAGGTCTGGCTTTTGCTGTGAAAGCAGACTCTTTTCCCAGTGACTCTACTGGATTAGCAGTTTTCTCTTCCTGAAGATCATTATTTTTTGTTTCATTTTCCTGACCATTACTGGTAATACCCATCACTTGGTCATTTGGCTCCATTTGGTCAGTTCCTTGATTTATATTTTCAGGAGTTTTTTGAACAATGGTTAAATCTGCTTTCTTGATAAAATCCTCAGGATAAAGGCATGTACTTCTCCTTTTACGCTTTAATTTATTTGTGAAGGGCTGTTCTTGTGTGATCTGTGGTTCTGTAGTAATACCTATAATTTCAGTCACATGGTTCAAGTGAGGGAGGCTTCCCTTTCTCTGATATGTTTTCCCAAATATTTTATCTTTGCTATTGTTCTTTCCTGGTTTGGAGAAGTCTCTTTCACTTTTACTCATTACAGCATGATGGGGATCAGAGGTTAGCAAGTCTGTTTTCTCTGAATTACTGACACATCCATCTACTTCATTTGAAACTTGTAAGGCAACAGCTGCTTCAGCATTTGATGCCTGCCTCCTGTCAGATGCACTGTCAGAAGTTAACACCTCACCAGTTCTGGAAAACCACTCATTCACTTTCCGAATGCTGCTATTTAGTGTTATCCAAGGAACATTTTGAGTAGCTCCAGAATCCTCAAGGCACAGATTTTTCTCATTATTGCATTTTTTTCTCCCACAGAGGGAATCAGCATTAGAATCTACCTTTTTCTCAGTGCTGGGAATCTGCCTGTTATTACATGTTTCTTTACTTTCAGCCCATCTGCTCTGTTGGCTCCTTGCTAAGCCAGACTGTTTGCTTTTATTACAGAATTCAGCCTTTTCTACATTCATTCTGTCTTCAGTGAGTAATAAGCTACTGTCTTCATGCTGTAATGAGCTGGCATGAATATCTGTGCCACATGGCTCCACATGAAAGTTTGAAACAGAAATACCCTGACATTTTTCTGGATGCCTTTCAGTTGCATGATTCTTAATAGGGTTCAAATCTTTATCACTGCATTGATGATGTTCAGTGTTTGTTATGTCCTTAGAAAACTCACAAGCAGCTGAAATATACAAAATGACAAGGTACTTAAAAATGGATTAGCATGAGAAAATATGTACCTAATACAACTTAGGAACACAATTAATCCACCAGCCTTATTTTTTTTTTAATTTTAGATATTAAAAAAATAATTTTAACTATATAAATGTTTTGCTTGTATCAATGTATGTCCATCACAGGTGTGCCTGGCGCTCACAGAAGACAGAGGAGGGTTTCAGATCCCCTGGAACTGGAGTTATGGATGGTTATGAACTAACATGTGGGTGTTGGGAACCAAACCCAGGTCTTCTGCAAGAGCAACAAGTTCTCTTAACCGCTTAGCGATTTTTCCAGCCCCAATCCACCGGCTTTGTTTGTTTATTTGAGACAGCGTTTCTCTCTGTGGCTCTGGCTGTCCTGGAACTTTCTCTGTAGACCAGGCTGGTCTTGAACTCATAAAACCCATCTACCTCTGCCTCCCAAGTGCTCAGATTAAAGGTGTGGGCTACTGTCCAGCTTTCACTGGCTTCTTTAGAGGAGCTGACATCATACACTACCAAGTATACTAAAGATCTAGTTCATATTCTTTCATGTAAGCCAATTAAGAAGAGTATGATATTTTCTCAAACACAATAATCAGACCATATCTCCATCCCACTACTCTTTTGATATTGAATTAAAGCAGATTATTTAATCAACAGATCTCCCGTTTTCTGTTTTGTTTGCAAACTCATGTACTCTACATTACAAACTAGTTGACAGCTGGGTATGGTATTCCAGTATTCAGAAGCTTAAGGCAGAAAAAATGCTGAAAGTTCAAGGCCAGGCTGAGCTTGTCTCAAAATTGATCTAAACAAAAACAGGTGGCAAAACCAAAATATTTCAACTAAGAGAAAAGGACAGCAAGGACTCATTGTATGTAAGGATATTCCCAGCTTGGGTGGCTAAACAAAAGCATGGTTAGATTACTCTGGATTATATTGAATTGTCTTTAAAAAAAAATTGCAGCATGCAGTTACACATATTACTGTAATCACACCAGTCTAGAACAACTCATTATCTCACAATGGCAGCTGAGAAAAAAAAAAGATATTTTATAATTCTTTAAAAAGATGCTGTGAATTATAAATGTAGATTATAAATCATAAATAAATTTGAAAAATGGTCCTCAGTTTAATCGAATTACAGAATTGCATCTACTCATTTCCATTAGTGTCAAAACGTCAGGAAGGCATGACTTACCCTTGGTTGCAGAATGCAGACTGGCCTCATGTCCAGCTCCTTGAGGGGTGACTTCTAACAACTGCTCTGTCACACTAAAGGGGAAAAGATAAGCCCTACTGAGAACTCCTAGTTGTACACTCACAGATTTGTCACATGTGCAAGATCAAATATTTTAGCCCCTCGAGACAGGGTCTGGAGAACTGAACAGATTGACTCACCTTCTGAAATCTGTTCTCCTTTAAGCAGTCACAAAGATCAGAGTAGTTCAGAACATTACTTTCTGGATATGCAAATAACACACACACACACACACACACACACACACACACACACACACACACA